CAATCAATGTGGGCATGGGCATTCAATTCTATGGGCCTGGAGCTGCAGCTTCATCTGTCCCTATGTTAATCTGGCCCTGCCTGCAAACCTAAACTTCCCTAATGTAACCCACCAAGTTAGCTGTAGCAACAGGGTTTAAATAGTACCATTTCATACAAAGTTCTGTAATTACACTATTTTATTTAAAACAGCACCATTTTAGAGTTGCTCCAATGTCACTCGTCATTTATGAAAATATTTAATAGTGGCCTTTTAAATGAATAGTTGATAAGAGTTGTAAAACTGCATGTAGCAGGCCCTGGGTAACCTGACCGGTTACCTTCACTAATTCCTTCCCTCAGCCACTCTGGAACCTTTTAAAGTATAAAGACACCCATCCCCCCCAGTAACTGCATGACACACCACTCTGGGAGTACAATACGATTTTATTGTGCCACACATGGCTTTTATGCATAACTCCCTGCAAGGGGTCTTCTACACAAAAAACAGGGGTCTTCATCCCAGGATCCTCTGAGCTTGGGAGCCAAGGCATGGGAAAAGGGACCATGTCTCTTTGTCTCCCAGGTACAGAAAGCCCGCCAAAATAGGCAGTGCCCCAAAAGCATCGCCACCAACCTCAGGAACCCCCACAAAAGTACATTTCCCCGACTGCTCTCCATTCGTGAGGTTCTTGTGCGAACACCATGCAAGGGAAGCATCTCCTTTTGGGATACGAATGCTCCCCCTGGTTAGCAGCCACCCAGGGGAGCACTCATAAATTACTTCCCTTGCGGTTTCGCACTTATGTTATTGTTGTTAACGTTCTAAGTAATTGGTGTGAACATTCTAATGTGCACCGGGGTGATCCCCGTTAGGGAGACGAATGGGTTCTCTTCGTATGAACGCTCTCAAATGGGGAAACAGGGAAAACTACACGAAATACAAGTGGAAAACACACGAATAAGCAGTGGTTCTGCCACACTGCAGCAAATAGTTGCTGTTTAATTACAACTTTCTTACTTCTATATCAGGCGTAGGCTGTCAGAATTCTGTAGGAGCTATGGTAAAAAACCTTGTGACAGCAGCTCCTTACTTTTGCTATATCTGAATAGATCTATCTGGTTCCTACATTCTTCTAGAAACTGCCTATCTAAATGCTATTACAACAAGCATTCACAAGATAAGCTAAGTAATATTCTGTCTAAAATTTGGGAATTTTGTTTATACTGCAAATTCAGTGTTAAGCAATGGGTGGAATCATTCCAAAGCCCTTGTAAGGCTTGAATGTTGCCATATGGTCATGTTCCTTCTTTTGTTTACAGATAGAATTTGCGTTGCACAATAAGACAATGATACTTGCTAATTTATCTGGACACCAGTTAATACTTTTATACTAATATTTGCAGCTGTGCACTATTTTTTTTTCTTTGTTTTTATATGGTGGATACAGTTTTCAACTCAATTTGACATTTTAAATCAAAAAACCTAGCTTTCTAAAAAAGTAAAAATAACTTTGTGATACTTAAATAAGAATTTAGCAAAATTTTCTAGTTAAGTGTAAAAAAGAAAAAACTAAATTGGTTGCGGCAAAGTTAAGCCAAAATGACTAGCTAGTGTATCTTGATTGTAATGCCAGAAACAAAAAGCTTATGATTAAAGCAAAAGTGCTTGGTGGGAAGCCATAGAAATTACAATGCCATTGGCTCCATAATAGATGGCAATGCTTTTTTTTTTAATATTAAATGTTGCATATAAAACCCTGTGTTTTGGCATAATGCCTACATCTAGAAGCATCAGAGGAATGCTGTCACTAACCGTGCAATGACAGTTATCCTACATACCACCTAAAATAAGCAAGACTGTCTGGAAACAGGTAAAAACAAATACAAAATAAGTAGAGCAGAGAACAAAATGAACACACCGGAAGGTGATGCTAAACTGAATAATATTAGAGGGACAGTGTAAGCAGCAAAATTACTGCCACAGTGTAGTGGGTTTGCAGCCAAGAAAGAGCACTAGGCATGGTGCCAAATGCAGGCTTCCTCCTACAGGCCTGGGCTATGTTTCTACGTTTAGTGTCTGAGTATTGTGTGTGGAGGAGGCTGAGAGCTCTGTGTGGATTAGTGTGACAAAGTTAGGGGTTGATTGTGACAGAATGAGATGGGTGGGTGTTGCAGGGTGAGGGGTGGTTAGTATGTAAAGTGGTATGTTACAGAGTCAGTGTGACAAGGTTGGGGTTAAGTGTCAGAAAGGGGGGTGATTGTGACAGAGTGAGTGATGGTCAATGTGACAAGGTTGGGGGGAAAGTGATTGTGACAGTGTGACTTAGGGGGTGACAGTGTATGGTGGCTGAATGTGTGTGGCAGAGTGAAAGCATGTGGAGAGGTTGGTTTAAACACAGTCTCCCACATAGTAATGCCTGTTATTATTATTATTTATTATAATTATATATTTTTAAAATAAATTTGTCCCCTTCTCTTACCTCCCATTATTGCAAGAAGGGGGGCAATATTACATCCCCTCGTGGTCCAGTGCAGGCCATTGTAGATTCCCTGGTGGTTTGGTGGACTGCTGGTGCAGCCGCATTCTTTCAGGGCTGTTGCTCGGTGAAGCTTTCAGAGCACAGGCTAGAAACTCGGTGCCTGCACTCTGATTCCCTCACAGAGAAACAGAACCGTGAGGGACAGCACCAAAGAGAAGAATTTTTAAAGAGCCAGAAGGGAGATCTTTTGATCATCATGTCAGCTCGCAGGAGGAGGGGGATGTCAGAGCCGGAGGACCTATCCTGTCATCCTAGAGGACAATAAGAGTCCACACAATTTTAGTTTGTAGAAAACTAATGCAACTAAAGAAAAGTGCCTAAAAGTAGATTGTACTAGATATTTGCTTAGGATTTTTACATAGTTTTGCAGTTACGGATATTAAATCAAAAGGAGTGCATTCTGACTTTAATAGTGGTCACAAAATCCCAAACTTCTAAACAAAAGTATGAAAATATTTTTAAAATTGATAACCCAAGGTATTTACCTAGGCATTTATAATGTCTACATGAAAAATAAATTTTACGAGAAATTTTGGCAGAGACAGGCATTATAATGACTACATGAAAAGTGTAATTTTCATGTAGTCATTATAATGCCTGTCTCTGCCAAAATATATTTTTCACACATATAGTTGCAATAATAAGTGTCTTTTTTTACTGTGAATTTTATTAACTTGGTTTATTCTACTGCATCCCCACTGATTTAGTACAAGCAAAACTAAGTTACCATTGTTATTTAGCAAGACCGAGGGAAAAACTTCACACACACATACACTGTTACAAATGTTACAGTATTTACACAGTGATTATTAAAAGACGACAGGATGGAAAAATCACTCATCCTCTAGTGATATTTTGTTTTGTTTCTGTTCTATATCACCATTTGGTGTGGAGGGTTAAAGGAATATTCGTGGAATCAACACATTATGTACAATATGTATTTAAGTTTAGATGCTACGTCTATTTTCCTTAATCTTGTTTTTTTTTATTTTTTATTTTTATTAGTACTAATGATTTTTTGTATGCATTGGATTGGTGAATTCTCCTTCTCTCCTGCTACATTTCCTTTTGGGCTCCACAAGTATTGCTGTACATAATGACTTAAATGACAATTAACCATATCTCCGAGCAACTCTTGCTATACCCCTGCTTATGGGGAAGTGTCGGTCACTTCCTGCTTTGGTCAGAACTCCTGCATAGCTTGGTGTTATAGCAACAAATCCATGAACTTCAAATATATCTATTTATTTTGAACTTTTTAGTTTTGCATGTTTCAATGCACTGTGTTGAAAAGGAATAGATCAAATCCAGTCTGGAGTGTCCCTTTAACAGTAATAATTGTGTATAACTTGGTGACATGTGTTGAATGTGCAGACTGCCCATAAGAGACATATCTCATGTATCAGGGTGTATTTACCTTACCAATAAGATATGCTAACATATGCTTTGCTTTACCACTGGACAGATACAATGATGGATACTATGCAATTTAGATAATAAAGATGTTATTTTATCATACAATTAGATTGGCATCATACACATGTGTGTTTCATTAGTCATGTGATCATTATGAGGTCATAAGCCTGCCTTTTTTGTAAATTGTATCTTGAGAAGCAGTATAAATAGGGCTGCATGCAAGACCTTTAACGTTATCACTTGAGAAAGCCTGTTAGGCAAAACGCGTTGTGAGTTTTTGGTATTGTTAAATATTTTACTTATTTACTATTTTATTTAAAAATACATATATATATTTTTTTTTGTTTGGTAACTTAAAATTACATTTTACCCTGTTTTAACTTATCATTTGGAAGTCTCCAACTGGCACAGTTACACTTTTTCCTATTTGTGCTTACATATCCCAGGTTTGTATTGTACCACGCACGCTGTTTTCAACAAGCAAATGTGTGCTCCACTACATGTAACTACATTTCCTCGTACTTAAAAATTGAACTATTCTTATATACAGAGAGCACTATTTTCTGTTTTTATTATATGCCTATTGTTGAATACTGAAGAATACTCACACCAAGAAACATCCATGAGCAGGGATTATACCGCTTCATATTTATACTAAGAGCTGAATTTGAAGCTCTTAGTATAGTGTATTTAGTGAACTTGTATGTATTTTACTTAATTTTAGTTAATATTTTAAGATCCTGTTACTGGTTTGCACTATTGGCTCTTTTTTCTCCACATTTATATATTCCATGTGAGATGCGCACCCTTTGAGTACTACAAAGCCGTGATTGATCCTCCACTCCATATCCCGTGACAAGGATTCTATTGTCAAATACTAACATCTGAGAGCTAATAGCTCCATTTTTGTGAGTGCATTTTCATTCATCTTTCATTTTCTCCTTTGACGCATACAATATTATACTATCTGGTTTTCCTATTTTTTATTTCATATTATGGAACTGATTTGAGTTAGTGAAAATATTGGATTACTAGCCTAATTTACTTACCTTACGAAGACCCCCTGCTGCTCAACCTCAATAGACTTTAGGACTCTAGGTATTTGTATTAGATGTGATATTAATTTTGAAACTTATTATCAAGTACTACCCTCACTGTATTTGGCACCAGCGGCTTCTCTTTTTTTTTACTTGTATGGTATTTTTGGGTTGTTAGGGTACCCATTTTTCAGTGTTTGCTGCCCACCAGAGTGAGCGTTGTATTTATCTCTCCTATTGTTTACAACGATGGATAGACTGACTGCTCAAAACTATATACCTATCCGCGTACTGGATCATATGCTAATTGAGGATTAAAAGAACCCTATAGGGTCAGGAATACATGTGTATTCTTGACCATATCGTGTTAAAAACACTATTTAGGTGGCTGGACCTCCATGCCCCTTTAAATAAGAAAAAAACTCACCTTTATTTCAGCGCCGCATGGGTCTGCCAGCACTGGCTCTGCCTCTGATTCACCTTTTTGGTTGAGATCATCAGAATTGATGATCTCAGCCAATCCAATGCTTTCTTATAGGAAAACATTGGATTGGCTGAGTTCTTCAATTCTGATGATTTCGGTTAAGGAGGGTGGGGGAATAGTCAAGTGCAGCGCTAGCAAACCAGCATCTCCTCATAGAGATGCATTGAATCAGTGCATCTCTATGAGGAACATTCAGCGCGTCCATGCAGAGCATGTAGACACTGAATGTCAGTGATGCACATTGTGCAGCACTGACCCAGGAAGCACCTCTAGTGGCCATCAGGAGGCACCACTAGTGCAATGTGAAGGTGTTCCTAGGTAACAATGTAAAAACTGCCTTTTCTCAGAAAAGGCAGTGTTTACATGAAAATGTCTGCAGGGAAGGACATCCCATAGATTGTAGATGCAGTTGTTCTGGTGACTATAGTGTCCCTTTAACTGCATTTTATCTGGAGTTAACTACGGCATTCTAGCAGGGATATCTGTGCTAATTATGTAAGAGTAAGACGTTGTGTGGAATAGTAATTCATGTACTGAAAGGGATAGACTTAAAACTTATAAAATATTTAGAACATAGCATTGCAGTAAATATTACATGTGCCAAACTAAACAGATATGAAAGTGCAAACAGACTGTGATAATAGCCATCATACTTTGTTCTGCATATATTCTATCAAAGTCTCATCAGTTTTCACTAATCAGATACTTTATGACATGACCTCCTGACTTTATTGCTTTTACATCAAGCAAACACATGAATTATCTAATGTACACAGTATTAATGTGAATCCATTCCCAGCAGACAATCCTCCAGTACCTAATCTCCATTACAAGCTACATGTCTCCATTCTATCATTCTTTTAATTCTATCATTAAGCACTAGTGCTAAAGCAGCAATAGTGTGCTAGTTTTCATGCATTATTTTTTTCTTCTGAACGTATGACATTGAACAGTCGAGCATTGTGCTTATTTTTCAAGCTGTGTATTATTATTATTATTGCCATTTATATAACGCCAACAGATTCCGTAGCGCTTTACAATATTATGAGAGGGGGGATTTAACTATGAATAGGACAATTACAAGAAAACTTAGATGAACTGTAGGGTGAAGAGTACCCTGCTCAAACAAGCTTACAGTCTATAGGATATATATATATATATATATATATATATATTTTTTTTTTTTTTTTTTTAACCAATTGAGAACACAGTTCCCATTTAGTGCTACATTGTGATTCAGATGTTTGCATAAAAAAATAAATAACAGGCCACTGCACACATTTTCCTACACTTTACATGCATTTTATATGGCCGCAAGATATCTAGTCTTGCAGCAAATCCCCAAGCTTTGACCCACCTCCATTGATGTCTATTTCAGTTTGGAAAGTGATAAGAGCTTCACAGCCAAACTTTAATCCCCCAATGAATCAATAAGAGAAAGAATGCACATGCATTTACACATGATATAAAATGTGCATTTTTGCAGCGTATACTCTACAGGAATGAATAGGAAATGCTTCTGCAAATACAACACAGTCACACCGCTGGTCATTCATTTAAATTACATTACGCTCAGAATGAATATATCTAAACACTAGCTACAGCCTCTGAAAGCTTTTCTGACTTAACGTAATATTACACAGGAAGGATGGGGCATGATATTTTTTAATCTTTTTAATGTCTACTAGCTTGCAGAATAATCTTGGATAAGTATTCCAAAAAATCAAAGATACTCATTAAGTGTGTTATTAAATTTGGTGGGTGTGACACACATGTGTCTATTACACAAAATATATCCAGTCACACACATGCATTGATAAACATTAGCACCCACATTCACTGTATATGGCGGGGTCATGCTTTCATGTGTCAGATGTTCTGCCGCTGAATGCTAAACCTGTGCGTCATTTATTGAAGCAAAGTCTGCTCACCTCATGCGTCATTCAGCACATGTAGATGACACAGACGGAAGCATTTAGTCAGTTTTCCTGAATCTTTTACAGGCGTCATTTTGTAGTGAAAGGGGAAGGGCTTATAGGAAATAAATAAAAACACAAATGGGTACCAAGAGTAAAATAGCAGCAGTCCCAGGCTGGTAGTCTTTACAATAACATACATGTTGGGAAATGTGTATGTAAGATGAACATATGATATTGTTGTAGTGCATAAAAACCAACAAAGGCTCTTATGGGGAAGTTCTCTTCTTAACGGAAATGTCTGGTCACAGGGATACTTGATGTCTGTGGAAATATATATAAAAAAGGGGAGAGCAGAGAAACTCCAATAGTGCAAGTCTTAAAATTAAGTGCAGAGATATTTTAATTTCCTATGTACTCACATTGGATAGGGCTTAAACCAGCTCTAGCATGTTGTGCATATAGTGGTATAAATCCCCATTTATAGGATACTCTTTAGGATGTGGTCAGCAGGTCTCACGGCAACAAAATGTTGATTTGACCTAAAAAATAAAAACCAACAATAGTGCTTTCTGTATAAAATTAGAACCAGGAGTAAATATATAAATTGTACTCACATTTACTTGAGCAGATGACCAGGAAGACAGGAAGATTGTATGCAGTGGGTTTTCAATGACTGGAGGCTAGGGGAGAGTCTGATGGCATGGGGCAGGGAATTACATAAGAATTTGGCAGGCTTAAAAAATTCCTGCAGATGAGAGTAGGCAGTGC